AAAACTAATCAATAAAAAGAGCACAACTGCAACTGCTTTATTCTTGCTCTAAAGTAAACCTGGAGATGGTTCCCAAGTCCGGAAGAGTTGAATTAACCAGCGTTGGTCAGTCAGTCACTGCCAAGCTTCAGCAGCTTTGACTTCCTTTCCCTTGCTCTAGCTGTGTCTGCTTAACTTGTCCTTTCACATCACAACTGCGCTTCTTATAGGAACCCAGTTATTGTGAAATATGGCCTAATCCAATTGCAAACACTGCATTGGAATCTCTAATCCTTGACGGGTAGACATTTGGCTATTGCACACTGTTAAACTGCAGTCGAGTGATTGCTGGTGGCAGTCACTGCAAGTATCAGCCTGACTTTTTCACCGTAACTGCAGTATTTTTTTTTGTTTGACCTCTTGGAAACTAAATTCCTCCTACATTTTAAACACAACTATATTTTGCTACGTCAAACTATTTTACGTGGGAATGTAATCACAAATTATTACTATTATTAATAATAGTAATAACAACAACCCTTAATGCAGCAGCGTTCGATATTAAAAAATAAATAACGCAGTGGGAACGTTTAGAAGCAAAAGACTATTTGTTAACGATCTCTGACTGTTGAATGCGGCAATATTATAGTTTAATTTGAACGAGCTGGTTATAAGTGATCGCGTTGACCCATTCGATAGCTTGTTGTTTGTGCAAAGCAGACATGAGAAATTATCACTGACTGGGTTACAGTGTGTTACTCTCAACCCCATCAGCCGACCCTAATAGCAGTGGCTATTAACATAACATAACATATTATGTTATTAACATAACACCCTTCTCTGGTGTCTTATTTTATCCATCACCACTTCGAAACTTTTTGTGTTCTTGATATCATGTTATTAATATAACATATTATATTATTAACATAACACCCTTCTCTGGTGTCTTATTTTATCCATCACCACTTCGAAACTTTTTGTGTTCTTGATATCATGTTATTAATATAACATATTATGTTATTAACATAACACCCTTCTCTGGTGTCTTATTTTATCCATCGCCACTTCGAAACTTTCGTGTGTTCGCCTTACTCTGCACACAGAAATGAGGGCAAAAGTCACTGTCAACTCTTGCCCTTGTGATCGGGAAATATTTTCAAACCGACGATCGATAGCAATCGAACCGCGTTTGTAAAATCGTAATCGATTTTGTCATTTGAAGGAGTCGAGCGGTTTGACATCTTCCCAGTGGGATTGCAGGGCGTCTGCACGAAAAAAAATACTTTGCCTTTCACACAGGAGCTTGATACAAAAAACAGGTACCGATCTGAAAAGGAACTGCTGTAAACGTTTTACAAACCCCATTCCCCCCCCCCCCACCCCCCCCCCCCACCCCCCCCATCTCGTTCAAAAGACAACTAATGTTGGTCCTTTTGCAAAATAGTTCCAGAGTAATGATGATGCGACCCCCCTATGCTTCAGATGGATTGAAACAAGGCAGAGACTGCTGCTAAAGTAAATTATTTTTACCACCAGCAACTTTTTGCACAGTTGTATTGAAAGCCAACAAAACTTGTTTCAGTCTGAAGATCAGTGCTAACCTCACTGGGTGCAAAGATCGTGACTGTTACTGTTTCTAACTTTTACGGTCCTTACTCTGCCCTGGCCATTTGTCCGCTGGTGATATTTAGCAAGGAGATAAGGTAATGTTCTTCAGCATGTCCTACTATGCACAGTGGCAGTCGTGTTTAAGAATCTGGTGACCCATTAGTTTATAAAATACTAAATTTGAATTGAAATCTGTAATATCTGGAGGGGCTGAACAACTGGAGCTTGGCAAGATTTTCCTAGTCCTTTTTGATGAAGGGACTCATAAGTGTTTTGTATAACTGGCCCCAAATAAAATTCATGCATCACATATATGTCCCCAAATTTGTAGAAAATCATGCCACTACTATTAAACTCTGAGTAAAAAACATCCTCTCAGCAATGGACTCCCTGTGGTACAGTGGTCCTGCCACTAATGTCACCTCAGCAGGGGTCTATATTTCTGTTACATCTCTATATGCATGTCCTTACAACGAAAGCCACTACATCATCATAAAACTTGAAAGTAGCAGAGCCTTTATCAATGTACTGTTAAATCAGTCACGAAGATAGCTCTATAGTTATAATAAATGCAGTAATCTTTGCTAACAGAGGTTGATGATAGATATACATTTATTATTTTACAACTTTAAGAGCTGCAGATTTGAGTCAGGTTGGTGTCCTGCCAAAGGCTTGCGTGTGTTTTATAATGTTGGTGGGAAATTTAAATTTTTAATCAAAGTAGAGATATAGGATGATCCTGCGGGATCCACGAATCAGATCACTAACTGTCTCTGAGAAACATCACTTAGTGAATTAGATCAGATGGTATTAAAGAGTTAGAATGAAGCAGCTCACCAGTTAAACGCACATTTAAGAGGAATTTGCTTAATTGTCCCTTTTTTTGCTATTACATTTTCTACTCCATATACCT